CGTGAGTCCGCAAATCTCTGAGTCTGCTGCGACTCGTCGAGGGAGCCGTGGGACTCGCGGGAGCCGTGCGAGCCGGAGGAGGGGCTGAGTCTGCTGTAGATTCGTGCATGGGGACGAGTCTGCTGGATCTCTGGATCTGCTGCCTGCTATATGTTACGGCTCTGAGTCCTCGTAGGCTACTGGTCTCTCTCGATCATTGACCTGGATTCACGGATCCCGCGATTTTTCCGGCTCTAAATTAAGTTTCAGTGTAGACTTCTAACAAAATGGTCATGTTGTGCAACAGTCTCCTGTAATAATATCTGCATTTCCAATAAGGATCTTACTTGGAAACTCGTTTATTTTGAACATGGCACACAAAAAGAAACAAATGATAGAAAATTGCAAAACAGTTAGAATATATAAAATGTAATTATACAATTATTATTATTATTATTATTATTATTATTATTATTAAATGAAAACACAATTGTGCAAAATTAGCTTAAGTACAGGAACATATTAAAATAACTATATACATATAATGCAAAACACTTATTTTTTAAAATGCACACACACACACATGTTTTATTAAAGCAAAAGACACTGTGTAGCGGAGGTTAATGTAACGTTAGTTTAATATGCTGGTTAAATGCAACAACTTTTCGGTTTCACCGGTAGGATTTCTACGGTCTTGGTCATGCTGACTCATATGACTCAAATGACTCAAATGACTCGTATGATCCGGATCTCTTCAATGATTGACTCAGAAGACTCCGAGTCCATAAAATGATCCGGATTTGCCATCTCTAGCCGCCATGATAGTCTTGTTAGTAAACAACACAAACACGCCCACAGCCCGTCTCCGCATGTGACACAGGAAGTATCTAAGTACATTTACTCAAGTAGGCTACTGTACTTAAGTACAGTTCTCATCTCTGTTCGCCTGGCTGTTGACTATATACAAAAACAGTAACGGAGTAACGCACCATGTAGTAACGGTAACTGAGTTACTGAATGTAAAAAGTAATGCGTTAGAGTAATAGTCACTACCAAAAATTACGGCGTTACAGTAACGCGTTACTTTGTGATGCGTTTGTCCCAACACTGTCAATCGGAGATAGAAGAAGAGAGAGGACCGCAATTATGTGCTATCAGTCAATTATCACCAGAAACTGTATCTCAAAATGTAAAATATTACCTCCAGGATGTGAACAGAGGTTCGCTCCTATTTTCTGTTCACATCTACTCTATAAAAAAATGGTGTCTAATATGTTTTTCAACGCTGAATGGTTTTAAATCAAAAACAAGTTTCCTGAACTGTTAATGCCTCGAACAGAAACAGGAAACATTGTATTCCATTACCTTCACCTCTTCAAGGAGCAAAACCATAAAATGATCCTGTTATCGCGTTAAAGTTTCAGCATCCTTCCGCTGGCTCTCTTGCCTCTAAAACAAACAGAGTGTAAGACATGTCAGAATAGATGTACCCTGCTGTGGCTGCTGCTCTTTTCACCCCACAGCCTGCGAGCTCCAAACAGAGCTCCACTGTGCCTCAGCGGACATTGAAATTCCCCCGACGTTTGTACAGTGAATTCCATTTCCTTGCCTTTTGATTCATACTTTTTTTTTTCTCCCTTTTCTCTTTTTTTTGCTGTGAAGTACCTTTGTGTCCCCTGTTTGAACTTCGGTGAAGAATTACTCTGTGAATGGAGGTCGGGGTCAGAGCAAAATGGGCAGAGTGAATGACTTGAGAAGGGGGAAAACTATGAAGAGTAATGTGCTGCAATGAATAAGGAAAAGCATTAAGCCTCTGCAAACGATTGCTGCTCCTCTATGGGCTTCTAGGCTTAATAAGATTGCACACTTCTTGAAGTAGTTTAAACTTTTGGCTGTGCATTAATTGATCATGAGTCTTTACATTTAAAGTAAAAAAAATCTGTTTTTCTTAAGTTTATGTCCCTTAAAATGTCTGAGCTTAATTACACTGACTTGTATCAGTCCAGAGTTTCCCATTTATCTGATAAAGAGGGATATGTGTACACTTTCCTATTAACTGACTCTAAATGCTTCATTTTGATAATGTGCAGTGATGAGTGAGGCAAGACTTTTTAATAAAGGAAAAAAGTAGCTTATTTTTCTTTCTTTTTTTAACCTGTTTGGTTGAACAAACCATGTCAAATCAATCATTTCCATCCAAAAAAGGGACCTAAAGGCAGTCACAGTGCCTTCCTATTTGACTTGGTGCCCATATTAGCTATACTCCTTGTCCGTACACTTCCCTAATATCAGACACCAGAAGCCATATTTTGGAAGGCCAGTTCCTGGAGTTCTAAATGAGAGAAGAAGAGTAGATGTGCCTCCAGCCCCTTCCAAATGTTTAAGGAAACCATTAAACAAAGGTTATTGGTCTAAAACAGGCCTGAAGGCAGACAGCATTTTTTTCCTCTATTTCACTTCTCCATGAGCTGTAATCCTTGCCAGAGTAATGTCTGTTGTTGGACACATACACTGGAAAAACTGAAACGTTGAATTTAAATACATTTATTATGTCAACAAAATTCACAAAACTGTGTTAGGTTAGATGAAAGTATTAAGTTGAAACAAATATCTAATTATATTTAAACTTACAATAATTGCTTTCAACTAACCTAATGCAATTATGTGTCATTTGTTGACATAAAACATTTAATTAAAGTCAAGACCAGTTTTTCACTGTAATCATCTAATTAGTGGCTTAGACAGGAAGTGAAGGTCAATATGTCGCATTGGACCGCATCTCCTTTCTTGCTCCTGCACCCTACAGTTCGCCGCTCGATGCCTCCACAGCCAATCGAAGGTGTCCACACTGACCGCAGTGGGGGGATGGGGTCAGTTCAGAACAGCTTGTTCTCATCGCAGCGAGGCTCATCTCTACTGTATGCAGGGTGTGGATTAGGGGATGAAAGAATGCCACTGACTGTGAAATTGCCTGATTTTTATCGGGGATGTTGGGGAGCAGCTGTGCACAATCCTCTGCCTTAATCCCGGGGCCGGGAGAGGACCGAGCCCCACGGAAAGTGTGTGTGTGTGTGTGTGTGTGTGTGTGTGTGTGTGTGTGTGTGTGTGTGTGTGTGTGTGTGTGTGTGTGTGTGTGTGTGTGTGTGTGTGTGTGTGTGTGTGTGTGTGTGTGTGTGTGTGTGTGTGTGTGTGTGTGTGTGTGTGTGTGTGTGTGGTGTGTGTGTGTGTGTGTGTGTGTGTGTGTGTGTGATGGGGAAGTTCTGAATGGTGGTGTTTATGCATGTTCCTTCAGTAGACTAGTTAGCCCTGATAAGTTATCCCAGTGTTTGTACTCTCGTGAGTGTGTTTGCAGCGGCGTGCATGCAGCAAGAGTTCAGCAGATGAGAGAGGAGACAGCTCGGCTTTTCATGTTTCAATTGGTCGAGGCCATCGATGGTTAAGAACTGTGTCATAACAATATTATTGATGCGTTGACTGTATAATCCTGTTTCTCCACTATCTGACCAAGCCTGCTGCTGGGATAGAGAGGAAGAGGAAATCCAACTGGGAGCATTTTTGATGCCACATTTCCATTCACTGCTGAGGGAAACTTAAAGGTGTACCTATCAACGTTTCATATTTATCAAATGTGAAATATAAAAGAGTTTGTTGATAAACCTACAAAAAAAATATTATTACGGTGTTTTTAAATCTTTTAGCACATTTTTGGGTTTTAGCAGCCTACAACAAAAAAGCTCTGATATAAATATATGACAGACAGTGGATACTAAAAATACAAATCTAAAAGAAGAGGGAATGTTGTAAATACAGGACTCTATATTATAATGTTACATTTTGGGCAATTCCTTTATAACATGTTTTGCCATTTTAACATTACTGTATATGCTGATAAAGCTGATGTCAATATTAAGTTAACAGCTTTTTCCACTGCGTTCAGATCCCGCTTTAAATCAAATATAATTAAGTTTAAGTTCAAATGTAATAAAAATATATAATTATCACTCAACCAAGTAGTCCACACAGATTCATAAACAAATTAAAGTATTACAATCTCTTATTTAGGATATAGAACACCTTTTATGCATACAGCATTAAAAGCATTCAAAGTGAACTGAAGAACAAGTTATAAACAAGATAACCCGTTCACATTGTCTTTTAACAAAAAACATTTGAAATGTATTACATGTGAAATGCAATGGAAGTGTAACTGAAAAAAGTCTCACGACATAAAAAAAAACAAGAAGCAAAATGCTTAAAACCTTAACATCTTACACATTACTTGAATACATTTGACTTTTCACTACTGCAAACAGGCATTCAATTACATTTCCAGGATAGAAAGAGTACGTTTGGTCCCCCATAATACATCATGACCGGAGTGTGGATATGGATATTCAGTGCAGGGTTTTGAGGAACAGAGGATCTTTGATCCCTGCTCTTTGATGTGGCGCTGCCCACATTCAGAAGCATGTTTGGTGTGGGCGACACATGCCACTGAAGCTCTATCTGTTGTCTCTCTGCACCGCTCACATGTTTGTATATAAGATGAATGGAGGCCTATCTCGGTGGCCATGCCTGACGCTCAGACTGAAATATAGTCAGCAGGTGACAGGCAAACATATGCCTCAAATGCCACGGGGTCCTGAAGCCGGATCATCTCCAAAGGCTAACTGGCAGGTCTAAGTAGGAGCGGCATTAATACATATTATTCACAAAGAGCATGATTGAACAGAAAAATGTGCCCGCCGTGTACCCAGCTGCTTCGTTGGCACACAGCTCAGCCTCTAACTGGGTTTCAAGACTGAGCTTGGATTTGGCCATGCATTCACTGAATTCCCCATGCAGCTCTTATTCATTCATTCGGGCTCAGGCCGGCCTGTACCAACACACTGCTATCTGTGTGTGTGTGAGACAGACTGTGTGCATTTGTGCCAATTTCTGAATAGTTTTGTAAATCACAGCAAATTCTGATTTTTGACAAGTATATGCAGGAAATGTTTATAATTCAGAGATTCAATGGATGTGATTTAAAAAGGCCTTTTCAAGCTTTATTTATGAAATGAGTGTAAAGCTGTTTGTCACACACAGCAGCCTGCACTGTGGCAGCTGAACACAATGAGTTTCCCAGGAAAATTAAACCGGCTTTGACCTTTCATTTTACACTCACTTGCTGTTACAACACCCCTCTATGGACAGTGCTATTTATCCCAGGGTGCTGAGTTATACTAGTTTTTATTTTTAATAACATAAAAAGTTATTTGTGGTTTCAATTTGGCAGGTCTTGGCTGATGCAAAGCAGGATTACACATGTTTCCTGTTTTGCAGCCCGGCACAGTGAGAATAACTGCCCTGATGTTCTCACCTGCTGCATGAGTATTTGATGTTCCCTTTACATTCATATACATGTACAGATACATTTCTTTAGCCAAAGCTTGCCTCCCAGCCATCAGGAGGTCAGCAGGTGCTTCTGAGCCAGATGTCTTTGGCTTCTTCACACAGTGAGTGTGAGGATATTTTTTTAGAGATACAGCGTCCTCTAGAGGCAAAGCTGTGAAGGGGTTTTTGAAAAAAGCTTGCTAGGAAAATGGTATCCCTTTCCCCGCAACACAGGTCTGAAACAGTATTTTACTTGCCAATCATTTTTTTAATGCAAATTCAAATATATTTGTTGTTGGAAGGATTCATCCTCATAAAGTATAACAACTGAGGAAGCTTAATTATTTCCAAGATGACATTTATACAATATAATCTTAAATTCAGATTGTGATTCATAGTAGATGTTGACATAAAGAACTTGAATGACATGCATTTATTTAAAAAAAGCTAACATGACACTAATGCTAAATATTTACTTCATTATCCATTCATCATTTTCTGGGAGTCATAAATGTATATTTCAGCACATATGTAATAACTTTTATCTAAACCACAATTACCTTCCATTGTGTTTTAAAAGAAGCAATAACGGCCAAACAAGCAGGAGAAAATATATATATAAAAAGATAGAAATATAAATCTTTCTTAATTATACAATCAAAATGACAATCTATGTATTCAAATGAATTAAATCTGGTGGAAGAATGGAGTCGTTGTAGAATGTTGGAGCCTGTGAATATGGAAAATGTGACAAATTATGAGCTTGAATGAAAAAGAAAATTGCACTTCTTTAGAAATGATTTATAGGAAACATTGTTTTCAGTCCTACCTTCATCGTTTGTCAGCTTTTGAAAATAAATTTGACTGCAAAACAATTCAGAGGGAAACTTCCTGTTAGGCATTTATGTTTGTTTACTGAAACTGCATGTCTGTTCCAACTCTAATAATATCCAGTATCATGTCAACTTTATATGAATACAAACTTCTGCCAGGCTTTTACTTTAGCAGGTGACTCACATGCTGTCCTTTAAGTGGCTTGCTGTAAACATTAGACTTCACTTATTGGCTTCCTCTTCGACTTTCACTCTCTGTAACACCTGCAGGGAAAACATCCAACATGCACAGCTGAACAGAGGATTGTGCATTAAAATTAAAATAAAAGAGTCCCGTTTATTGTAAGTGAAGCTCACTCGATCAAAGCGAGGCAGTGGGGATTCGATTAAATAACACTTCCCTGAGGATTAATTCCCCACTACTGCGACTGCGGCAGGGGAAACTACAAAGGCATGCAAACACAGGTTTTCTCTGTACACACTCGATAGGATTTGAAATACTCACTTGGCGTGTGATGAACGATGTTGATTTTATCTGCGGGGAGAGAAGAGTTCCTCAGCCATTTACAGTATACAGGTTATTACAGTCATTCGTAAGGCTCCAACTTTAACTGCACCGCATAATATTTATTTTTTTAAGTTGAAGTTCCAGGAAAGCTTTCTGTGATGACAGCAAAGTTTAACCCTCATGTGAAGGATGGAGGAATATTTACCGTAGACACTGTCATCAGCCTCTCTACTGCTGACGATACTGGCTCTCAGCTGATTCAACTTCTCCTGCAGGAAACAGAAAACATCCATTTATTTTACCATTTGTTTCCTTAAAGCATTGTCTTTTTATGCTCTGGTTACAAGTTAGGCTATTTTGGAACTTGGTTTGTGTATTTATGCTTGTATATTTTTACTACATTCACCCCAAAACTTAGCATTTACATATTTAAACATAACATTTCTTAAATCTTGTAAAACTAAATATTATTGTCTAATGTAAGTTATCACCTTGGTAGGTTTTACAGTGTCTTATATTTGTTAAAAACACTGAACACTGTTCACCTGTAGTGCGTATATGGAATGTTACACATACATGCCACAATTATGCTTATTATTTAGCAGTTTCTTCTGATTTATGTAGTTCCAAACAACAAATCCAAATCCCTTCTGTAAAAACCTTTGATTCTAGTATGTCAACAAAATAAAACTAGAATTTTGCACCTGACTTTATTCAATGTTCACATATCCTTCCTGGAAATGTTTGCAAATTATATTTTTATTATGTAGTTAAAAATGTAAATGCAGAGTATTTCTGCACCTCGTCATTTGTACATGATGTAAAAGATCTGAGTATTACTACATATACTACTATTGACTTTGAAAATGTACCTCTGTATTTTTCCTATACGGTGTTTTTAAGACACATCCACATACAGTACACATACGTCTTTTGTGATGGTGATGGCTGTTTCAGTTCTAACTCCTGTCCTTCCCCCTCCCAGCCAGCAGGGGTCCTCAGTTCCCCTAATCACCGTCTGCCTACACACCTGTCCCTCATTAGCATGATTAGCTTCTCGGTGCCCACACTAGCTCGTTTTCATTTAGTTTAGGTTGTTTAAAACAGTGCTAATATAACCTTTTAATCTCAACTTTACTACTTAAAAGTATGTAAATCAACTCTAGAATATGAATATGTATTTGGATATGGATGAAGTGGTAAGTGGTAGATTGTTTTACTCACTGTTGAGTATGTTTTGCTATTCAAAATAGTTATCACTACAATAAACAGTGTTTTATTTTACTGTAGAATATTACATTTTACATTATGTTGTATATATCATTCTATTTACATGTATATAGACTCCTGCATTTAGGCTACTTGGTCACTTACAACATTCTCTGCTTTATTTAGCTTTTTTAAATCTATTTATAGAGAGGCGAAGGAGGGACTTCACCTCTCTATATAACTATGTTGGAGGAGCTTGGGACTTTAGATTTGTATTGCCATTTATACACTGTAGCTACTGTGCATATGACAATAAAGCCTTTGCATCTTGAACAATGCTGACCTAAAGTTACCTGCACAACTGTCTATTTACTGTACCTTGTGTATGAAAATGAAAAAGTAAAAATGTTGCTGTTGTGGTTGCATGAAAACAAGACGCCTATAACTGCTCAAATTAGACCAAATTAACTCATATCATTTAAACCTGTATTACTTGAGACAATATGACCAGTTCTGCAAAGAGATGCCTATTCCCCCTGCCATGTGACACACACAACAACACTGCATTTAATGTATGTTTTAGCAATGTAATGTTATACTGTCTGCTAACAGTAGGCTACAATTTCTACCCTTTTTTTTAGAGCAGTAAGCATATCAAAGTGTCAGGCTCTGTTTTGCAGGACGGCGTATCATGAGCAACATATGGTTACAGTTGTATTATTCAGTTTGATTTCTGCATGCTTATTTGTTCCAGTGTGTGTGTGTGTGTGTGATGGCAGTGTTTGATGGTCCCACCTGCTGCACCTCCTCCCCGCCCTTCTGAACCCGCTGCAAGTCGCTTAAGCGCTCCAGAGCTGCGTCCACGGTGAGTCCCCCCCCCTTCACACTCTGCTGCAGCTCGATGAGGGTCTGCAGACTGCTCATCTGCTTCGGCACGAACGTATTATAGGTGGCAGAGATGCTATCCTCTCGCCCACATGCTGCAACAAACAACTCAATCAAAACGTCTGGAAAAAACATCCAAATTCTGAGCAAAAGGTGGAGAAAAATCACACTGGATTTGATACATAATGGCATACATTAAACTGTTAATTCCAGTGACAGATATAAGACAAGACAGGGAATAAAGCCACTCCAGATGGCATTCATACAGGGGATTTGTTGGTAATGTGATTCTGCTCTGCACATCTGTACTGTCAGTGAGTCGTGAAGATGGTTAGTAATGTTCTGTGACTGTGATGATCTTTAGATCTGTCACTCAGTGTCAGCGACAGAGGAGCAGAAAAATACCTTTATATCTCTGTAGACGTTCTTTCACACTTTGGATTTATTTCTCATCTTCTTGGCTTGTTCAAATGTGTTTGGGTTTCTGTGCCCATTACTGCCGCGATGACTTTTTTTCTTCATGGTTATCACTACAATTTTAACGCACCAGTAATTATCTAGGAAGCATTAAGTTATACCACCCAGCAGGTAATTCCAGCAGGTAATCAAACAGTTACAGACAAGGCAGCAAAAATCACTGGCACAGTAAAAGTCCTGCTGTCATGAGTAAAACATTTACAGTCTCAAAGTCGTAATGCAAATTCTGTCAAGAAAGGGGAAATAAACAAGACACATTTGCGAGCAGAAAATATGGAAATGGCCTCCTGTAGCTGAGAGTTAACCTTGTGTTGTGATGCTTTTTGTTTGTAGGTTTTACCTGCGTCCCCTTCTCTGACGTGATATCCTCAGATTTTCGAAGGATTCCTTTCAAATTTGGTTAAAATGAAGTGAGGATTTTTTGGACACACATAAATGTTGACTGCAACCTGACTGCTTTGTGGAGGCATATTAATGCGAGGCGGTTATTCTCTTATTTAGCTCATCAATCTTTTGGGTCTTTCTGTATAAATGGTAAAGCCAGACCCCCGTACTACCCCTAACCGAGAGGTTATATAAGTTCATCATGTGAATTTTCAAACTGAAGTCTGAAAATAGTAGCTTTTTAATTGTTTTAAAGGAAGGTTTATCTTAATGCCCCCGGTGTTTTGCATGTCTCACAGTAGCCCACCTGTTCGCTGCTGTAACAGAAATGTGTCAGTGTCTTGATACTGTGTTAATACTGTATGTCAGCTGCTGCTCTGATATTGATAATTCTTCTGTAATCAGTTTTTTTTTGTAGTTTTACAACTTATTGGTTGTGTAATACTAAATTCCTAGAGTGACGCTTTAATTGTGACTTTAAATGATGAACCTTATATCATTGAGATCACCTTGTTTAGTGGGAAGTGAGTACAGATCAGTTTCTCCCTGTTGCGTCTTCTTCTTCTGGAACACTGTGAATACAAAGCAGACATAACATACAACATTTATTTAGGATGCAGTGGTGACAAGTAACATTATTATTATTAAGTATATTTTGATGCAAAATACTTTTTGTACTTAAATAGATTTTGAATGACTTGAACTTGTAACAGAGTATTTTTGAACTGTGGTATTAACTACTGTTACTCAAGTAAAATATCCAACTCTGTTAGTATGCATATATGTTTCTATTTTTTTCTAATTTAGCAGTCAACAACCTCACTGAAAACATTCCAAGCTATACAGATTCCTGCAAAGCTTGTGCTTCTGCATTTCAAGAATTATTCCACAAGATGGCGCAATAACCTTTACTTACAAGCAACCGACTGATTGCCAAAAAGCCAAGTGTAAATATCCAGGAGGAGAAAAACATCCTACTAGTGTTTGAGATGCAGTATAATTGAATCTAAATATCTGTGAAATGACAGGTTTGGGTTCACAGAGCTTAAATCTGTGTTCCTCTCAGAGAGAGACGTACACACTCCGCTCTGGGTTGAATTAGACGCCCTGAATGATGCTTTGGTTTGGTAGTGAGCACTCGGAATGAAAGGCAACACTGTGTTGCTGTCAGAGCGGTGGAGCTGCGGCTGTGTGACCAACACTGGATTGAAACATCCACACCCTGCTAGATAATCCCACCTCTGAGCATTTCCTCCATGACAGCGTCTCTCTTTTCCATGTTTAAACACAGCTTGCTCGTAATACCAGCTATGGCTCCATTCAGACCAAAACAGTGAGTGGAGTACAGCTGAGGACACATGACTGAAGCTTTGCCTTGTGTCTACATTTGTCTCCATGTAGTTTACATGCCTGGTTATTCCAACATCATTTCAGTCTCATTTAGCTGGACACACTGCTGCGAACAAAAGCAAAACTCCTCATTATTTCCACTTGTGCAGCAGTGGTGTCCAATAACTGGCTCCTCGCCTAATCCTCCGCCGAGCCTCATCTCTCCCCTCACATCTCTCACTGCGGCAGTGGGAGTGAGGAGCAGAATGTGATCCTTGTGTGGTTTTGAAGCTCCGCTGTCTCAATAGATGGAAACCTCAGAATCCCTCTCCTTTTTCTCGTGCGCTCTGGGGACAAGGATGATGGAAAACACATGTAATGACTTATTCTGGCTGACTTGGCCTTGGTCTGGCCAAGATTGGTTGCAGATGGCAGCTCGGTAGTTGCCTCTGTTGCTGAGGGAATGGTTGGGATGCAGGGTTTTCAGTGGTGCACTCAATTAATTGTTTTGCTTTGTAGGTCCCCATTGGGCAGAGGGATGGCTTACTGGATATAACAGGCTTAATAAAAAGCTTCATAATGGACATAGGGCGCCTGTTGCATTTCTGTGTTTTTAAATGATGGTTAGTGTGGGGAGAGAGCAGCATTATTATGTGGGAAAAATCAGTATTGTGTGTGTGTGTGCATTTGCAAGAAGAAAACGAGCCCTTTTAATGATTTATAGGCCTTAATAATACCAGTCACTTTTGGATGTTTCATCTTCATGAAATATTCACACAGCTGAAATTGAACGGTTAGGGGCTGTGTGCTCTCCATGCAGAGTCTCTCCTCACTTTAGTTTGTTTTGCAGCGCAGCGAGCGACCATGTTCTTGCGGTTTATGTGGGATAAAAACAAACTTCATCCCAAAAAGCATCTCCACTTTATTCAGCAGCACTCCACTGACGATGGCGATGCACATTCCAGGCACTTCATCCCTCCCACATGATGTCCCAAACTCCCCTTCACTTACTGCGTCGTTTTTACTCCGCTCCATCATGTCTGTGATGAGGGGGAAAACTGGCAAAGGATGTGCAGCACTTTAATATTAACGTATTCATTTCCTGAAAATGTAATGAAACCCAATAATGTAACAACCAATACCGTACTGTCTGATATTGTATGACCATTTACATCGATAATGTCATACCTTTCAGATGGGCTCTTTCTTTTTCAAAACCAATGATGTTTTCACTTTGATGGATAATGTAAAACAATAACAAATACAGACTGATACAATCCAGGCTTTATGTAGAATTTTAAATTGACACCAGATGGAAAATGGCTCGTCGTTATCAGGCAAAGATGCATTCAACTAAAACCAATATTAATCGGAAATGAACCCACCCTAACCGATGCTGATTGGTCGATGTGCAAAGTGGTCCATTAGACCAGAGTGCATCTTAGATCAGATGATCAGATGAGGACAAAAGCCACAGAAGAACACAATCCAGTAGATTAATGATCCATTAAAGGCTTCCCCCCCCCCTTTCTTATTTGCCTCGTCTGATCTTATGAAATTGCTGCTTTTGTAAAGGGTTTACTTTACTAAAGTACTTCATTGCAGTCAGGACGTTTTATTACACTATTGTTCAGGCTATTATGATTGTGCTTCATTACATTGTAGTCTATTATTACATCATTGGCTGCTACAGAATGCAAGAAAACAGCCATAAGTTACCTTTGGTGATGTAAGGAGTGCCGTCCTCCTTCACCTGGGTGCCCTCAGGCCGAGGTGTGGGTGCTGGTGGGCGATTGGCAATAACCACAGCTTTTGTTGAGTTCAGGATGGAGTCATATTCATCCTCCAGTGGTAGGTAGATATCTTCCTCCTCCTCCCCCTCCTCTGCTGGTGGCTCTGCATGTTTGCTGGAAGTAGTCCCTATAACACACAAAGTGTTCACTGCACTATCCTGTCATGATCAAGTTCTGCTTGATGCTTTTGTTGCTAATTTCACAGCGAATGGGAAGCAAACGCTACACGCTGTGCCCATCAGCGAGGGGAACATATTCAGTGGTCGGAAATGAACAGCAACAGCATAATGATGTGCTGGAAGAAAATATACAATTCCATTACCGGCTTTCCCTTTGTCCTCCTTCCACTTCCCATCAGCCCCTCACTCACCTGCAGCGCACATCATTTCGTACACACTGGCATCACCATTGTCCTCGCCTGAGCTGAACATATTCTGCAACAACAAGAGCATGAAGAGACGGGTTTTATTCTCCATCCAGATCACAAAGGAGAAGCTCAATAGAGGAGATTTAGAAAGATATGTTAATGTTAAAGCCGGGTGTTTGCCATGTTAGAGTGGATTGTCCTTTTCTCGGTATTCATGCATGTTTGACAAGTGTGTGACCTAATGTGTGCTTGGCTTGCACACTTCATCCTTCCTGTCAGCTCATGTCCTCACCTGTGTCCTCCTTCCAAGGTACAATTACGAAACAAAAAAAGCTAAGATGACTATCCACTAAGCTTTTTATGCTCCGTCACAGTATGGTCTGATTTCTGCCTCCATGCCACACTTTAATATTCAGTGTTTTCATGTCGGATGTGACGAATGTCCAGACTATTAATTTCTCGCTGAATCTGTTAGGACTTCACTTGTGGAAAAAGCAATTTCAGGACTATCGCAGGAAGAGAGAGGTGTGCTGTAACGCTGCCTGCTGCTGGATAACAGAGCAGCTTTCCCTCTGCTGCACAGTCGGCCTATTTGCTAATAGCACGCTGAGGGACAGACGGGGTATGATCAGGGTAATTATCAAATCAGACATTCTTCCCCTTTCAGTCCAAACATATCATTTAGTGAGCAATCCCAGACCCTTGGCTTGATATTTAGACTGCATCTGTAATTAGATTGAGACACGGATATCAGTATCTTGCCGTGTTTCAACTTCTGATCGAGATGTAAGGAACCGAGTCACATCTTTAAACAAAATAAAAAGCTGGATGGATTGTAGATTTAACCTCAAGATGGATTACAAAAGCCTCTATCATAATGCATATGATAACCCCTTAAGGTTGCATTTCTATTATCAATTTGAATGGCTAAAGTTTGAATTTGAAATAAATCCCAGTTAATAACATAAATATTTGCAGAACATATGAAATACAGCTCACTTTGATCTTGACATCCTCCATATATAACCCGCCACGCTCCGTGTTCAGTTTCCAAGCAACACAGCCACTCATGACTCAATTACAATATTACAATGTTCCTAGTACTGCAAATCACTTATTGGTTGCCATGAATACTTAACAGTGGCGCTTCATAATGGGCCCAACAGGTAGAAAGGACGGGTTAATTACCGTCGCAGCGTGAACATTGACTAATATTAGTTGTAAGCTGTGCTACAGCATAGTGTGGTATTTCTGGAGGTAATATCTGGACAGGGGAGGGGAATTTATTGACTAACCACGAATGCTAAATCATTTTACAGATGTCTGAAGCTGCAGGAGCCTCAGGCATTCCAGGCAAATTCAGTTTCACCGAGCAGCAGTGCTGTGGACGGAACAGCAGGCAGGTTTTTGTTAGAGGGAGAGCAAACCTGGTATAAAGATCAGGAGTTTGAATCTGGTTTCAACAGCTGAAATGGTCAATCCTCAACACGCGGGCTGACCTGACACCGTGGTTTCAGGATAACGGAGTCTAATGCATGGCAGATTGTAGAGGGTAACACTGAACCCATCACTTTGATAATGTGCAGACTTATTGGCACGGAACAATAGAACGTAATCAGCTCAGCAGGAGAAGAAACGATCCCTTTCTCTGTGAAGGGTTATAGTTTTCTTTCAACCATAGTACATCACATTTAAACACAGTGGTACTGCAGTATGAGCTAAATGCTAATATGCTCACAATGGGGATGCTACAAATCTGCAGCTGGTATAATGTTATAATGTTAGTTTAGTATGCTAACTAATGAGCATTGACCAGATGAGGTGTTTCACTGCATTTAGCTCAAGTATAGCTTGTGTTGCCGTATGAGAAGTCAGATCACTAAAGTCAGTAGCTTCATCTTCTGGAGAATGCCTTGAATGGCAATCCATTCAATAGTTGTCAAGATATTTCAGTCTGGACCAGACTAAATTGTAAACCCTGTGTCCTGCAAAAAAACAATACTATTCAACCAAACTGCATTCTCAATGATGCTTCAAAGGAATCATAGGAATCCCTGATGGTCGCAGTTTAACATGGCTAAAGACTGACTCAAAGAGGAACACTTTTCAGTAGTCCTGCTTCCTTCAACCTGAGGGATGAGAACCAGTTAATTTAGCAGAATGAGGAGTACTGTATCATTCAAATGATAAACATCTCTCTGGAGTAAGCTTAATGATTAAGCAGTCTCTGACTAACCAAACATAAAATGCAAAAAGGTCTGTGGAGTCAACAAAGTGCAGGGTGTCGCCATATTTGTCCCTCTTGAATTTGGATAGGAGTGTACACGAGCACAACGTGCAGCACATGAAAGGCTCTGTGTAGTCTTCAGAGAACCATACAGTAATTTGTATTTATTTATCGAGGCCTGCTCGGCTCTATCTGAGCACACAGTGGCATCTTAGTCGGAGCGCTGAGTCCATCTTAATACCAAGTGACACTCAGCCAAATGTGTGACCCTCTGTTAAAATATGAAATGAGGACAATGTGTGTTTGTGTTACTAATAAAGATTTGTAACGAGGCATTTTGAGGACATGAACATCGTCAATAACAGCGGAGCATTTTTTATATTTATATTCTAGTTATGCCCCCCCTGAATAATGAATCTTTCCCATCTGGAGCAGTTCACAGCTAATTAACAAAGAAGTGGTGCCAGGGCAGAGTAGTGGATCTGACGCAGGCCCAGTGAGTGATTCAGCCCGTCTATGAAGCTAGGGACCCATCCATCTAGGATTTATTGACAAAGTGCTGCCACACTGACTTCCAAATCACTCATGCATCATGGGTTGATTAATTGGGGTGGGGGTAACAGTGAAGATCAGTTAATGAAACAAAGAAAACAAAACCCCTCTTACACTTCCTCTGTAGCAACACGCATGTAATTTTATCTGTTGAGATGAATTTTAATTACCCTCCAAAGGAAATTGTAAATGTCAATAGCTTGTGCATGTCGATTTTTTTAAGTTGTCGCATCTAGGCATGTGGGGGTCCCTGTGGGGAGGCCTCGGTTTGACATCACTGCTCCCCTGTCAGCTGATCCGACTCGCTGCAGACTCGCCGAGCACCGCAACTCACTAGAGCAATCTGATCAAACCTAGCTCCATCTGCAGTCACTCTCAATTAGCCGCGTTGCTAGGGATAAATATGTTTGGAACAGCTGCTGGAGTGTCGAAATTCCCCTCAAGGGGGAACTCTCTATGGGTTGATCCCAGCCATCAGAGAAAGTTAAAAGTTGTCAGCATTATAAGGGCAGACGGGAGATAAGAGCAGATTTTCATATGAATGAACGCCGATTATCTCGCTGCCTATTACACAGTGACGTGTAGGGGGTTGAACAATGCAGCTAACTGGACTCGTTTGTGCTCACATTAAAAGGATAGCAGTTTGAACTCAGTCAGTAATGTTCTATATACAAATGTATTATGTGCATCTATAATGTTAGGTTAAAGTGCCCGTGAAGTGCATGTTTTTGCGCCAAAATGAAATGGCAGTTTCATTCCTTACATATCATTGCGCCTGTTCATGGCTAAAATAATTTTTAATTATTACTTAATTCATTATTAATTTTAATAATTACGGCCGTCTAAGCCTACCGGAAGTTGCAGACGATATCGGCTGTGACGTCACAAGATGGGCCCTGTTGTGATTGTAAACATGGCGGAGACTTTGGAAAGTGATACAAGTGCGAGAGAAATGATTGATTTTGACAGGATAGATGAGGAAAGTGGCACAGAAGATGGAAGTGCAGGACATCATTGAACCCTACAGATTTGAGCCGTCAGGGACGTCAAGTGGGGAGGATAATGGCGACGACATGGACGATGGGGAAGACATTGACCGGCTACAGAACACTGAATGGTTAGCAGGTTAGCAGTGACTGTGCTGTCACTGTCGATTGGAAAATAGGGGGGGGGGGGGGGGGGGGGGGGGGGGGGCGTGAAGACTGAAGGGTCCTTTGCCTTGTTTAAAATCTCTGCTTGGGCTCAGCCTCTGGGAAATAATTAGCTTATGTACATGTCATGTGCTAGAGTATTATTAAACTATTAAATTATTAAACCCACTGAGATAACTTAGGCTACAGTTTACAATCTAATCACTCAGAGTCCTTTACCTCCCTGAGCTGACGTTATCTCTCTCAGTCCCACAGGAGAGGACTCTCCCTCTCCTTATTGTTGAAACAGCTAATCTCCGTTAGCTCCGAGCTAGCACCAGATGCTAACAACAACCCTGTAACTCTCTCAGTCTCTCTTTCTCTCGAATCGACCAGTGGCCGTTATTTGTCATGAACAATCAACGAATCTACGAAACAATGACACCAGCCAGGCTCACCTTCATCTTTTGGGAACAGAAACATCGCCACTTCGGTAGACTTGACATTAATACGGCCAGCGGCAATGCATCGCTTCCCGTGTGTTTTTCCTCCCTTTTTCTTCACTGTCGCCTCCATTGTCAGGTTTTCTCGATTGGCAATCACTTCCAGTCGACTCCGACACACTTTCCAGTAAAATACTCGCTCAAAAACTTTGATAAATTCGACTTTGAAACAGAGAAACAATAAACTGTGATGAATGTAAACACTTCGGCGGCGACCATCTCGTGACGTCACGCAGTAGATCGCAAGCCACGCCCACGAAGGCGGAGGTCAACTGCGGATTTCCCTGCGGCAAATTCAAAACTCGTCAAATTCGTTGCTATTCCAACATCTTTTGATATGGTTCCAATGGACAATTTTGGTCATTACTATACGTATTAGCATAACAGATCATGCACAGGCGCACACTTCACGGGGTCTTTAAGTAATTGCACGACACATCAATACACCTAAAGGTCATTCAAAGGCTGTTTTCGTGAGAGATAAATAACTAGTTTATCAGCATTATGATTACATCCTCCTCTACTTTCAAATGGGTTCTTCATTGGCCAATGCTACACCCTTCCAAGAAAATCTAACCAGTAGTTCTTCCGTAATCTTTCTGAGAAACAAACGGCAATACAAATATTCCCTCTTTGCTGGATGTAATGTGTTTTCATCCTGCCTTCTTGACTGTACCGTGGCAGCATCATGTCTTTCTTTAACGATAATGTCCTTAGCACTGGAAAAAACATTATGATCCCAGTGTCCTCCAGATTGATCAAATAAAGGGATGTGCATGCATGCAATGGATCTATTAAATTAGGATTGCAGCAAACGTGATGTTGTGTTTAGTGAAGTGGGAGGTTGAGCAGGAAGAGGCTCTTCATATTAACACGGGGAAATGGCAGCCATTACGCCAGTAACACCCAACATTAGTGGCTGCATTAATTGTCTGAATGTATGCAGACAACCTGCGCTCGGAGCCATTGTGCATGCATGAACAAGCTTTCTACTCTCTGTGGGGGTGTTCCATTAGGAACCTCACAGGCCAAACGCACAGGAAGAGAGGATCCACTAACTGAGCCATGAGCTGAATGTAAAGCCGCTAGTTAGGGAGCGAGGTCGCCCCTGAAATACAGGTCACTCTCCCTGCTTTCCTCCTTCCTTTCCTCTCCATTCTGTCCATTATTGATAAAGCACCACTCACTCATAGTCCTCTGTACGCTGTATTGGTGTTAGTGAGTGCATTTCTGAGTGCTGCACTGCATCCCAGCAGCTGAGGTGCATTGTGGTATTTACCACAGCTGTCTGCAGGTATTTGGAAACTATGCAATTCCATTCAGGTGACATTAAATACTGCTGGCTCGATATAAACGATGCCTCTGTGTGGATTGAATTGGCTCATAAAGCACCATGAGAAGCTGTCATCGGATATTGACATTTAGAGAAATGTCTTCATTGTGCATGAGGTCCCTGAAGCTGATACAAGATTAGCAATAACTACTCGAGCAAGGTGAAGGAAATGAATGAATAGTTACCAGCCTTTCCTTCAAAAGGACGTGAAGCTGGGTATGGCCGTGTGTAATGGCTATCTCAGTGGGAGTGTGTCCGTGGCGGTTGGCGGTGTGCAGCGCTCGCTCTGCACCGGGACACTGCAGGAGCACGCTGGACACGCTCCTGAAGCCATACTGGGCAGCAAAGTGGAGGAGTGATGGGACATCTGAATGGTGGAGCTCTGATGTGGATATTTTCCAGTTTAAATGAGAAACACTTTTTTTTTAAATTCACAATCCATACATAATATTCCCTTTCAACTTCCTTTACATGTGCTATCTTGAAGTTGACCTAATGTGAACGATTTCACACAATCATGAGAGTGGAAGACAGCTCGGAGGCACTTATTGACCCCTTTGTAGCAGTTGAGGATCAATCTCAGGAGCTGATGAAGCCATCAATCTCAGGAGCTGATGAAGCCATCAATCTGCCACATAATGAGCCAATAAATTATGGAAGGCTTTCCTTTAATGGTGGATAATGTGCGTCATGCAAAAGTAAGGCATTTCAACTGTGAGAATTACGTTCATTACACATTGTTGCATAAACACATGCTCCGGGAAAGGAGTGAATTAACATCTGTTGTCTCGAGGCTTTTATAACAATGATGCCAAAGCCATACTTTCAAGTAATCATCACCTGTTACTCACGGGTAGATCTGCAATTAGTGTTTTCATCCCAGTTAGGGACTGTGTAAGTACATTTTGGGGGATTATACCTTACTGTATATCCATTCATACTACAATTGATGCATGCTTGGCACTTCTCCCAAACGTATGAGATAGTATTTGCATATGTACTGTATGCCAATCATGTTTTGTTCAATGTCAGTCCTCAATCCTCCCATTGTATACAGTACCTCTCTGGGGTGTGTTTTCACACTGCAGTCCCCGAAACCCTCCGTTGGGCATGTGCTTTAACAACATGGAGGTTAACTTCTGGTCCAGATTCTGCACAGAAGACTGCTGAAGAGCCTGCAATGAAATAAAAGCATATCTCTGACTATAAATTGAGGAGTAAACAAAAGCAGCACTTTTGATGGTGACATTATAATTGTATGGTCAAATACAGTCTTCAGGGGAAGCTATAGAAGTTTAACATGCATCAAAGTCCAGTCATGTCAATCCAGGCTTTTACTTTGAAGTCCTCTTGGCCAATTCTTATTTTGGCATTGCTCATGTTTGCCTCTTCAGCAAAAGAGACCATAATCAAATGAAGTGTTCATGGCAGAAAGAGACCTGCCCTTTCATTTCCAGAGAGGAGGCAGTAAACAGTGGCGTACATAAACATCAGCAGAAATATGTGCATCTAATTAATTTTCTGTTTCTTTCTAATGGCTTGAAGTGGATTGATTATAAGCAGCGTTTTAGGGCGGCGATTGCCTAATTTCTATAAATGCGTTGCATAACGATGAGTCACTATAACACATTCAGAGTGCCTCAGAAGGGAGAGAATAGAGCAGCATTCAAATGTGTTTCCTGCGTAACAAAATCAATGGTTGATAGACTTATTTGAATATATTTGCAAGTGTTAGAGCTTTAAAACCGAGGTATGCATACTGCTTGTTAAAAAAAAAGAAAAATGGTAATATTACTTGTTACAGAGAGTAATATCGCATAAATAAGATTTAGAAATATTAATGTACATCTTCATAATTTAAATACCTTCTATAAAAGTGTTCCTCCATTTATACAAACAGTGTCTTTTCAAAATAACTTCACTACAAAACTGCTGGTTTAGAAAAAAGTGTTTTGGCTTTTCTTTTTTTTGCAAACTCTATGTATGCAGCATAGTCATTACATCATTTCACTCATGCACATAAGTAAAACATGTACACGTTAACCATACAAATAGCAGCCTTCTGTCTAAAAGTCCTGTGCTTTTCACCCATCCATCCACCATACACCTTCCTGTTAAACCGAGTTTTCGCTCTTTATGATGCATCATCTGATTCCTCTCTGCCCCAGCCATAGTTACAGACATTTTTTTAAACCTAGGGCCGCTGACCAGGCTGCTGTATTTGACGCTTCGGGACTGAGACCAGGCTGATTTATTTGTTTGCCCCTCCCTGCCTGGTGCTTTTGAAACAGCCCTTTAATGGCTTTACCTGACACATGAAATCTACAGGGTCTGCTGCCCTCGCCAGAAGGCAGGTTATTTCCTCCATGTTGCTGTAGTATTGCAGCTGTGCCTTGCTCAGTGGCACCCCATTGCTATACACAGTCACTCTCACATGTCCTGCTGGAAAATCTGCAACAGAAAACATGAAGAAACTTAACACAGAAAAGCCAAAAACAGTGTAGATTTGATTGTACACTCCTTATGTCATGGCGCGTGTATACCTGGCGCATTGACACAGAGGATCCGTTCATTCCAGCATACGGGCTTCACTCTCAGCCTCTGATCGTCAGCGGTGAACTCAACCTCAGCGTCGCTGCCAACCGACTCATTTTTCAAAAGAATGAACACTTCCGTGGAGCTCTGCCAAAGAGACGGTACAGTGAACTGCAGTGCAGTAAATTTTAGGGATGCTTTATGAAAATGAAATGGCTTACTACTGCCTGAAAGCCTCACCCCACAGGGAACTCTGGAGGGAACAACAGCCATGGACCTGACACCGCGGGCTGCAGCCTTTCGCTCTGATAGCCCACGTATCAGGGGTTTGACATTTGCAGCTGAAGCTAATGCACCTACAAAAGATGGGACATTGAACATCACGATTGATTATGCACTTGTGAATTGTACAAAATGGGTTTCAGATACCATAAGCTAGCCAGGTCTATTTTGAGGCATGCTAGCAACATGAAGGAGCATAGCAAAGTTAAATTCCTCCTCAGGATGAAGTGCACTAACTAATCCCTTAACTTTGTTATCTCGCACAGTTATCAGGTCAACATTGTAATGGTTTATTTGTACCTGAAAAACAAATGACATTGCACAAGCTAAAGTCAGATTGAAATAGTTAACATATCACCTGCTAAGCATTATAACATTGTAAAACATCATACTTGCTTGCGTGCTAACATTTGTATTGCTACTGCATTCTATGTGTTAGCCTTAGCTCAACACACTTTTGTTTCTCAGTAGCCCTACAGTATTATTATTATTAAATAATAACAAAACCTCGAGAATAATTCAAATCTAAAGCTGATTATTTGATTAAAACAAGAATAAAGCAAAACAAACCAAGTTTAAAAGTAAATAAGGTTTATTTGCGTTAAATCGAAACTCTTTTATAATTAACATTTGAGTGAGTCAAATACAATGATACCAATAATAGTATTGTTTCTGTTGGTGTAGCGCCTCTTGCAGTGATGAAGTGCACGGATCTCCACCTGTTTACACTCAAACACCCACATGTCTGTTGTGTGCTAACAAGCAAACAGCATCATCCTGTGTGAATAGGGAGCGTACTTCTGGGTTAAAATATAACCGTCTGTGGGATCCTGGCCTGAAGCACTTTCACTGTATCAGTGCAATGTGACGCAGAGTGCACTTGAATTTGCATGGCTCACGAAGAGTATACAGTGATGGCCAAAGAGGAAAGAGAGACTATTTGCATCAGATGTTCCTCCTGCACATGCACCTGTTTAAATAGAAGCCCCCACCTCCCCAGCGTTATGAGTTTATACAAATACTGCAATTAGGAAAAACAGGGAAAAGGCTGGGGATAATTGGCCGGGTGGAGGGGACATGCTGGAGATGCTTAGTCTGTGCGGCTGGTGCTTTAAAAATATGAATGCCAATCTAAACAGTGGGTGAAAAAAGTCAGTAAACAGGTTTCCTAGCTGCTGCTGGGACATTCTCACAAATAATGAGGATTGCTTTCCCATCGTAGCAGGGAATGGTGCGGCTGTGTACAAATATTCCTAAAGGTTTCCTTTTTTCTGGCTTTGCACGGATACAAATTGTGCCTAAATTACAGTTTTACTGCATGCTGTTAGGATATTTGAATGTGAAATTCCTGAATTCATTTGGCTGTAATGGTCATTATATTTAACTGGGTAAAATAATACCTAAATAAGATATGTGGGGAAAATAAAACAATAATCTGAATTTGCAGTTAAGTAACCTTTTGGGTACCGGTTAAGTAAAATGAAAGGGCATTTATCTTTTGCACTTTTACCTTCCTTTTTTGAAGTAAGTCCAATACACAACCATATGCAAGGCCGAATTCTTCTCAAGACAAAATCTTATTATGATGAGACAGTTTTGTATGCATTGGTCAATTTTGCGAGTTAGGGCATGTCTTCAAATCGATCGGAAATATCCAATTACACATTTAGATGCTTATATTATTGTTATCTTAATATAAATAATCAACTGGCGAAGTTTCATGAGCATATCTATTAGTTAAAATGTAAACCTGTAGTATCTCCCCTTACAGCTAGTCAGTCAAAAACTTTTCAGAGCCATTGCCCTACCTTTTTTCACAATATCAGTGACAGCGGACAGGTACTCGTGAGCATCTTGTTCACTGGAGACCTGCAGGCAATCGTCTCCGTTCAGAGGGACCTGCTCCAGCAGGGGGGCCAGGCTCTCCACCCCACACAGGAGCACCACCACAGCAGTCGCAGGACACAACACACGGGCCAGGAAGAAACGGCGCTTCGGACACAGCCCCTCCAGCATGCCCTTGGAGAGGATGAGGAGCTTGCAGGAGTACTGGGACAGGCGGAGGAAGTCGTCCTGCCGGCTGGACACAGTGGCGATGTCGTAGGAGCAGATGGAAGCCTCTGAGAGGGAACCGGTGAAGAGGGAACGCAGATATGTGGCCCATTGCTGTGCCTCACACTCATAGATGATCAACAGCTGCTCAACTACGAGATAAGTGGATTCAACAGTCAAGATATTTGTCTCTCAGGTTGTTCCAGCACAATCATGAGAAACGCTTTTGCAGGCAGGCTCTACTGAAGTCAAACAATCAATGGAAAATACAATATAACAATATAAGAAGCGTGACAGAAAAATTATAAAGAGATCGCCTTCAAATTGATAGCACACATGCAGTAGATAGATTGAATCATATCACTCAAGTATACATGTATTGTGAAAAAAAGTACAGATTTACAGAAAATACTTTTTGCTATCACTTGTGTAGCATATTTAAATGTAACATACTGTGAGATGTGATAATGTGAGAAACAGTGAAACGTCTTAACCGTCATAACCAATTTTGCTTTGATATTGAAATAATACAAAAACAACATTTTTCAATGTTTTTAATATTGTTCCAAGATGTATTGTGCCCATCAATATGTTGTTCTGAGCATTGCAGACCATTATAAATCAGCAACGCTCATATTAAAGCAATGGATCATTTTCATTACGGCATGTAATAAATGAATAAATAAATAATTCAAAGGGACAGCTTACCTGCGTGGCTCATGGCTCAGCGCTGTTTGTCTGTAGGTCTTCCTTCACACTGACAGGGGGAACAGTCTGCTATTGTCAGGAGGAGCACTGATAAGAGGGAGTTTCCTGCTACACCTTTATACACATACAAAACCTAACATCGAGCCTGTTCTCTGGTCTGGTACAAGGAAGAAGTTTGGATGTCAGCCTGTTATTCAAACTTTACTACAGCACTAGTTCCATGGCAGCGATCCTAAGTAATTTAATCAGTGGAATTAAATGTACTGCATGTGATGGAAAATCCCCAAAACTGATTCTGCGGTTTGGACATCAAAAGCTTGTCATCCAAGTCTAGTTTTTGCTTTCAACATTAGTCATTAAAGAATGTCTAAGTAATGTTTATTAACTGAAAAGGTTGGCATACGTGGTTTAAGAAGGCCTCTGTTTGTATAATTATGAAGTTTGGTGGGGATTTCTTTCCTCATTATACTGTGTATATATTTTTTTTACAGATTTTAAAAACTACCAATGCTACAGTGGAATTGAAATGGAAACAGACGACACACCCAAAATAACAAATAAAGACAACCATAGCTTATTATTTTATTCCATGGCATTTAAAATACAGAGTAGGTCTTCATGTGAGCAAAGAACAGCAAATAATAAACACAAAGGTCGCTGGTGACAGGTGATCAGTAGGAGGAAAAACTTGAGTCACAGACTTGCCCGAGTTTAATTAAGTCTGCAGAGCAAAAGAGTGCAGAGCAGAGCACGAGGAATGTTAATACTAATGATCTGGTGTGAATGTCTCGGCACGGGCAGATACAAAGACTGTAGGATGTTCTGACCTATATGCCTCATTGAGAGAAATGTTAAAGTCGGCGCTTCATTAACTGCCTCCACCTGTCGAACAACTGACTCATACCACACCAGTGTGTCGCTAATAGCCGATTGCCACCATTTATTGCCTTTGGGCAGCAGTGGGTTAACTGAATTGCACCACTGTGGAGAAAATGAGCGGGTGTAAGCTGAGGTCTCCTTCAGGCGAATGTACCTGGTGATGACTCACTTCCACTCGCTCACATTTTCTCTTTGCCTACTCTGATCCAACCCCAAAGACAGGAAGCTAAACCCTCCTCTGGATCTGCAGTGAGTGCAACTTGACCTCAGTGTGTGAGATACGTTATCATCATCACTGTAAGCAGGACTGACACTGCACCTCTGGTCCTGAGGGGGGCACTAGAGGAAAAGTATTTGAGAATTCAAATGAGAAAGAACAGCTGGTCACTGAAACTCTCCGGATTCATCCTCTGGGAACTATGAAAATCATTAGCAGATTTCATGGAAAGGTTCCTTTTTAATTAGAGGTGGAAATAGCTCGCTAAGATTTGATAACATATTTATAAAAGTTTGTGGCAGCCTGATCTACACAAGTCGATTTTGACCAGTAAAAGACAAAACGTTAGTTATGGCAAACATTTAAAAAGATAGTATTTTATTTACCATGTCATTATTTAGTATTTTTATTCTTAGGATTTTGAGTTAGTATCTCAAAATATCCCAAGTTTTGCCTTTTCATCTCCTCTAATTATCTGAACATATTTAGGTTTTTATAGATTGTGTGGCTGTGTATCTCATAATGTTACTATATATCCAATAAACTTGACATAATTCAGCTTAAAGCTAAATGTTCATTGATCAAAGAAGGTCTTGCCAAAAAACTGCAGTTGAAAAATCAACCAACTGGCTTACAATGGTACATTTAAATAAATGTTCATAAGAGTGTATTGTTGTAATATATGCTTTGAAAGAAAATGGATTGGATGCAGCAATAAACTATGGCTTGAATCAAGCCATAGTTTATTGCTGCATCCAATCAAACCGCTTGATACTTTCCTTAATTTGAATCTGGCCCGAGGCTGTTTGTCACATGTCAGCCGCTTTTTCTCCCCTTTTACCGACATTTTCTGCTGTATTTCTATTCCTAATTATCCTCTGTTTTCACTTTCATCAGTATTTTTCTGGACAACATAGGCATCCATATATTTTTCCTAGTTCCAAATACATAGACCATGTTGTGCTTAATGTAATATAGTATCTGCTTTTGTGGACATATACAGTAAAAACATTATTTGGTTTAGCATTTGTTGATTCAATATGTATTATGCTTACCCAGCTACAAATAGTATACAAGTTAGTAATACAGTTATTCACTCAAGGCCAGACTGACACAGGAACAGCCCTTCGATGAAAGTGAATGTACAGTTGCAGCTCTCCGCCAATATAAATCGTCGCTGTGATTTGGGGCGGGTCCTGCGGGTTAGCATGTTTGACTGCACACTGCGCTCAGACAACTTGATACAGAGTAACAGTAAATCAGACAGAGCAGCTCCTACAGCACCAGCAGTGAAATTGTAACCCTGTTGCAAGTATTTTTGGCCGCTGATAGGACCGAGTGAGATCACTGCGGTCTCTTTTCTCGGATAGACTCAAGAGTTGTTCGGCAGGAGCAACGCAGGGACCGTTTTCTCATTTCTGCTATATCTCAATATTATACCACACTGGAAATGTCCGAAAACAAGCCGAATGATGAACCGAAGTTATCTACGACGGACAGGGTGGTGAAATGTAAGTGTCATTTTTCATGCCACAGCTCTGAGCAGCACTTGAAGAATTCACGCTCGGAGCAGCAGCAGAAATGTAGACGAAAATTGTTTGCTGGCCATGGAGGAAGAAGGGTGTTAGCCGAGCTATGACAGCAGCAGTAAACTAGGAAGTGAGGCTAACTCCACTTTTGACCAGAGCAATATTTTTTTCTAGAAATGTGTCACATTCTGGCTGTCCGCTTGTCTGTACATGCACTGTTTTCATTATTGAGCCAGCAGTTTGCCAGATGCATGCTCGTTTGGTTCCTCACAGCGTTACAGTATGCATGCAGATATGGCACAAACAGTGCATTCAAACCTCTGTGCGATTTCCCCTCATGCATCACCAAGCATACTTTTTACCAGGGCTCCTTCTTTTTTTTATTACCATTGCATAATACTGCTGGATGTCACCTATAACGTAGTATGATGGAGCTATCGTGTGCCTTCAGTGTTCATGCCATATGTGCTGCTTTCTTCTTGCCTGTGCATTTTACAGGTCTGACATTCCACCTTTGCAGTGTCCTATAATAATGCAGTAAAGATCATAATCAAGTGGACCTACCCCTCAGCAGGAGCAGTGCAGCCTGCCCAGTTTCATGTCATCTTATGTTGACATAAAAGGCAGCACACCAAAGTTGCAGTGTTAAAGCCAATGTCTGTTAGAATATGAGCACTTTATGTCCTTCCAATTTCTTATGCTGGAAGGCAAACCCAAAGCCTTCCCTTAGTTAGATTTAACATGACAGAATGTGTGTTTATGCTTGCTGGTTGTCATCCAGCACTAGTTGCAATGCATTATCCTCGCCCGCTCCAGTACACCACAACAGGCATGTGCAGCCATCAGCATGTGGAGGGAATCGTGAGTAATTGTATTCAGGCTCAGATGCAAAGGTTCAACCAGTTGAAATGATTAGATCATTGGTGACCATTAAACATCAATATTCTGCTGAGAAAGGCAGCGCTACAGTGTTCAAAAGCCCATGACTGGAATCATTGACTTTATTAAAAACAAGCCTGAGCTCTGCCTCGCGCTGTATCACATATTTCTCATTGATTTCATTAGCTAGTGCCATTTGAAACTGAATGAATGTTCAACAAAATGATAAGTCTTCTCTGTAGCAAGTCCACAGCTAACCAGTTGTGTTGTGGCTACATTTTGCTCAGGAAAAGGGCTTCAGAGTCACAGCAGGTCTCTTCTGTGATGAATATTTCAAGAGATCATCCCCCTACAGTCTCCACCAACTTGAAGGCTAATGAAAAATAGATTTGACAAGTATGGGTTTTTAAAAGAGATTTAACATTATCACTGGGAGACGTGGCCGGTCGTGTTGGATCTGAAGCTACTTTTCCCTTTGGCACGCTGAGGAGAAGCCATCGTACTGCACCTCCTGACTCTGTATTCTCTGCTCTACGCTCAGGGAAGCTCTGCTATTGGCTTAATCAGGTTAAAAAGAATCGATTTTCCATTAGAGACGCTGTCAGGGAATCTTGAGAGCTCAGATTCTAGGGCTCAATCTCAAACCTGATGTTGAGATCAGCAAAGTAACTCGTTACAGTTTGGAGAAGTCTGTGTTTTGGTAATGCATCAGTATTATGACAACACAGACGCTGGCTGTGTACAAAGCACCTCTCCAAAATAACTGCAGGCTATAGGTGTGAAGTCATTTGTTTTCAGCTGCCTAGTTTGCCCTGCTACAGGGTGTCAGTCCAACTTATCAGAAGTGCTTTGGATCTACCTGTTTTCAGAAACATTATCACAATGCCGCTGAAAGCCTCTGCTGCAGAGTAATTACTCATAAGAGTGTAATCAGCTGAGGCAGGAGAAATTGCGTGATTTTCAGAAAGATGGATTGAAGCTGAAATAGGAGCAATTTCGAACATGAAGCCGTTCTGTTTAATGAGCTCCATCAGGTGCATGTTAGCCAGTGGTTTAATGTTGTTTAAAAAGCCTGCACACACCTCTGTTGACTGTTGCATCTGGCTAAACAGCGTTTAAGCTAGGATTAAGCTACCCAAGCGACAATCCTGATATCATGACGTCTTTTGTCTTTTTCTTTAACTTTCATAGATGAATTGATGAATCATTAGTTTTATAAATTGTATTTAAAATAGTGAAACATTTCCATCCAACTTTCTCCAAAGTGAAACTTAGATATAAATCAGCAAATCTCTATATTGGGGCAACATTTGGAGGATTTTCACATAAAACAATTATTTCAACAATTAATAGATTATTTAATCATTATTCTGTCAATTGCCTAATGGATTAGTTGACCAATTATTTCAGCTTTGTTGTCAATTAATCTTTGGTCCATGAATTGTCAGAATACAGTATAAAATGTAAGAAAATAGTTTCAAACCAAAAATAGTTTTTATTCACAATCCAAAACCCCCAAATAGTTTAGTTCAATACTAAATCTAATCAGGAAAACCAGATAAAAAAACTGTTTGCCCGCACTTTTGCTTGAAAAGCAATCAAAATTGTATTATTGCATTTTTTTCTATTACTATTTAACATTTGTATTTGCAGCTACTACCTTCTTTGAAAATATAAATATTGCCAATTAATTTTTTTGTACGACTGAATGCGGAAATCTTTCTCTGCATGTTTGTACCAAAGCAACCCTCAGTTACATATAAAATAAATCCACAGTTAGTAATATGGTCCTCATGGTGCGATCATGACAACCAGCATGCTCCAAAGCAAAACATGCTCAGTAATGGTGTTTTTCCGTCGCTGGGGAAGAAGCCAGGCCCCCGACGGTGGGTCCTCCTCTCTGAGTGGGGATGGATAACATCTCTGACATTTGACTTTTGAGGAGAGGCCCCCATGCTCAGACATGCGTGGGTCGGAGAGGCGCTGGTGGTGACAGCGGCGCAATGCCAGCCACTGATCCCAGCAGGAGAGCCGGGTCATTTATAGAACGGAACATTAAGTAATGCCACATACTTGATCCCTGCCTTACATATGATCATCTGCATATCATTCTGCTTCATACTGTGTGCCATCACCTGAGGTACAAAGACGGTGTAATAACGAGAGGGAACATTACCATTTGTCAGGATTTCCCTCGGGTAGTCATCGCCCTCACTAATATATCCTCATTAGCATTCATAAAACCCGTCATTAGCTTTATTTGCATGGCAATAAGATTAAAGTTAAGCGATTTATAATAACTGCTGCGGCTGTCTGAGATTTCAATCCAGTGCCTGTCGGCTGTGTCTGTAGTTTGGGAAGTTACAATGTCAGTGAAAAGTGTCTGTTATATTTTGGTGAAGTCAGAAGGTAATTGGTGTTGCTAATCCTGGGCAAATCAAATTGTCAGTAGCTGCATCCCGAGTCTGTTTTTGCCACATCATTTATTCTTCTGCAAGACCGTCAATTAGAATGAAGATTGAAAAATGGCCATTATATACTGCTCTGTTAGATGAGGACAAAGCGCATAGATGATCAAACTGTCTTCATGCGATGTGCTTGCTGCCCGGAAATGTAAGCGTTCATCTGAGGGTAGAAAGATTCTGATAACTGCAAAATAGATTGTTTTTGTATCTAATGGAGCAAATTGCTCTGTGAGAGTTGCCTTATTTGATTTAGTAATGGTGAATACTCAGCATTTCTAGTCTATCAAATTATTGAATATATTGTTGTATATTGTCTGTAGCTTATTCCGTTTAGCTTTTAGAGTATTATATTCTGCAGTTTTTTCTTTTTTTAAAGTCTTTGTGGTATATTATTATCAGTGTGGGTTGGACAAAAGTAGCAATTTAACTGTCTTTTGAGGCTTCAGGCAATTGTGATTTGCATTTGCTGACATTTTATCGACAGAACTACTCTTTAATCCCTTTTTAAAATAATGAATAATCCCTAGATACATTCAAAACACTTGAACAGCTAATAACTCTGATTATGCTACCGCAGCTTTCAGATGCATACAGGCAGGTCAAAGTGACGATACTCTTCTTGTGCGAGGATGAAGCAGCGTGGGTAATTGGAGCCTGTGATTGGTTGACCTGTGTGAACAGACAGTGCTTGATCTTCAGCACCAGAGCAGCTGCTTAAATAGCAAGCTGTCAATATCAGATCCAATGAAGTTTAATTATTTGAGGGTGCGGCAGAGTTTGCTGATTGGTCCATCCTTCAGCTGCCGGCCTTAATTGATTATCAGGTTTTTCTCTGCAGCCTTCAATCTTGTCTTCAGTAATGGACCAGCAGGATTCAGATTGAGTGTGTGTTGCTCTCTGTTTTCTGAAAAAGCAAGTCTTCAGGGAAGCCTTCTCCCTGCTTGCTGTCATGTCTGCTTGGTGTGTGAGGATCTGTATGCCGGTGGCTGGGGGAGGCCGACACCTCCTCCTCAGCATCTTTTGACAGCGGTCTACTCAAGCATCTCGAGCTGGAAATGTCGCCTTCAGCAGAAACTGTGAGTGACAAGAGGATAACCGAACAAGCCTGTCCTGTATCTGCTGTGACGCAGGACATTCTTTTGCTGTGTTTGGATATTATTATATTGAATCATGACCTGAACTCCCTGTGTTGTGATGCTCAGATACTGTGGTCTCTGAACCAGAGTAAGTGCACCTTTACCGCTCATTAGATTAAAGAGGAATTAGGCTCTGTTGTGGATTTAGGGCATGGCAAAGCAGCGGATTTGGACAGATTAAGCTCTATATAGGGGGATAAAGGCGGCTCTGCTCGGAGGTTGTAATCTGACTCCATGCATTAGCTGCTGCTCTTGCTAATTCATGTGAACAAATGGATGTTGGATCTTGTGTACCTACCTTGGCATTTTTAGACTTTTGCTAATCCTATGAGTACAGTTTGTGGATTTACAAGCATTTGAACTGCTCCTATCAACCACCAAAGTATAATTTTGCAGAAAAACAGATACGACGCATCAGTTTGCTATAGACCACCATCGCGTTTGGTAGAAATCAACCTCCGTTTAAACAAACACTCAGCATATTAATGGATAGCAGACACCA